TAACAATTGTTTATAACAATAAATATAGTTTTAACAAATTTTGGACAATTTCTATTAATTGTAGCAAATATTGAATATAAGGAAATTCTAGAAATGAGAAAATGCACAGAATTATATTATTTGTACGCTAAAGACATACAATATATTATAATTAGCAGACAATCAGTCTTTTGTTTTATAATTCTTGTTATTTGTTTGATTATTTTTCTGAAAAATTAAATTAAAAATAATTGTTAAATACATTTTTATATTAAAAGAATTTATTATCTAGTAATATGTTTAAGAATATTTACCACTCGCTGTGTTTTCATCTGATAAACATTTCCATTGATCTCTGTTTGCGAGACATCCCTTATATAGCGGTAAAAGTCGTGGCCAACAATCGCTTAAAATCTGTACAAATTTATAAATTATATGATTTATTTAATTCAATGATCAATAAATGTTAAAAATCAATAAATACCTTATAAACAGGAAGACATATGAGATCGATAAAAGCAACCTGCCTATTCAGTCCAATAGTATAAGTAGACAAGATAGAATGAATAAATATTCAACAATTAGGCTAATTATTAGTTTGACTCACATTAAGGGCAGTTCGTGTTCCCTCTCTCTGTCCATCATAGCGATTGGCATTTGATTGAGTTTTTCTCTTTCCAGATCACCTTGCTCAAAAAACTCATGAGCCACCAATTCAGCCACTCTTTTCTGAATACTCCAGGGCTTGAATGTGGCGCTTATATCACAGGCAGTCATTAGAATACCTCTTATTAAATCTTTAGTGATCAATAGTGAGGTTGAGACAAAGGGAGAAAAGTGGTTAAGAAGTTTAAATAAGAAAAAAGACTAATAATAAATCCTTAGCTATATTGTTAGTAACTTTATATGCTATTGAACAAAAACTTATTGAGACTGAAAATATTGGTCTAAATCCGTTGACAGAATACACGACTCAATTATATTTATAACTTCTTTGTAATTTTCGGGTGAAAGCGATTGAAAAATATTATTTCCCTAAATATAATTCATTTTTAGAAACTATACATTATATATACAGATGTAGTCAATATGAATATATTCTCACTTCGGTATTGAGAATAAGTATGCAGTGATTGAAATGATGGTTTTCCATTATACTTGTGCCGTACAACGTGGCCAATGCCGATCCCGTCCTTACAAATACACATATTATAATTTCATTATTTGTATCAATATATCAATCATAAAATAGATGAAAGTATTATATTATTACTTAGTTTGAAATGAATTATTAGTTCCTCTATGATCGAGATCATGGCATAATGAGGCCACTATTAGTCCTAAAATCTCGTTTTCATTCATTATATTATACATATCTCCCGTCTAATGAAAAGAGATTTATTGGATATTTGAATATTAGTAAATAATCGCAAATGTTTTAAAAATTTTGAAATCAAATAAACTAAAGCATTAGATTTTTGTGTTTTATCATTTACATGTTTTATCATCTCTCTCTCTCTCTCTCTCTCTCTCTCTCTCTCTCTCTCTCTCTCTCTAATTCATATGTACAGTACTGTATGAGTACAAGTATTTATTTAGATTCTATATTCAAACAGTGTAAAGTAAATAAGAAAAATAATATCACGTTCATTTTATTTAAAATTTGCATAAGAGATGACACAAAAAGTAAATTATTCACTTAACTGTTAAAATGGCAAACATGGTTTGCGTGACATTCAATGCATGTCTCCAATTATGGTAAGTAACCTATGATTCAAAATATTAATAAATATCAATA